TTTTTTTGTTTTTTTTTTTTTTTTTTTTTTTTTTTTTTTTTTGATGTGAAAATGACAAAGAAAGGTAAAAATAAGTATATTTAAATGTGCTTAAAAGTTTTTTTTTTTTTTTCAAAGAATTAGTTTGAATTTTATTTTGTAGAAAAATAAATTTTATTGGAGAGAAATGTTTGATTCTCAATTTCATCAAAATACATTTCTCTCTCTCTTCTTTTTAAATGCACGTTTTTCATTAAAATAATATTATACGTAAATAAAAAAATTCTATTTTTTTCATCGACACATTCTCCATCAATCTACTGTTCTAAAATTCATTTTTCCAACAAAATGGATGTCAAACACTCTTAAAAAATATTATAACCATTTTTAAGAAATAAGTAACAAAGTCGCAAGTACAACTTAATATACTCCTATGACCGTGTACTAAAATCAAAAGTACATTTTAAATAAAAGAATGCGGGTGTTAAATTTATCATAGGCTCGTTTGACAATATTTATACTTTTGCTTCTTAAAGAAAAGTTTCTTGAAAAAATTGTCCTCTTTAAAGCTTTTTTAGCAATACAATAAACTTTTAGAAAATTACTCAAATATGTTCAAAAACAACTTCTTAATTTTAGAAATATTTTTTTAACTTTTTAAAAGAATTGTCTAACGATATCTATCAATTTGTAATGCTTACACTCTCTTCCAAATGAGACAGTAAAATGTTGACAAAAAGTAAGAAACAATTATAGTTAGAGAAAAATATCGAGAATTCTGTTGACCCCAAGAAATGTGCCAACAAAATCCCGACTTCACCCCCTGCACATGGGCATCACCAGTATACTTTTACTTCTTATAGAAAAGCTTCTTGAAAAAATTATATTAAACAAGTTTCCTTTTAAAGCTTTTCTAACAATACAATACACTTTTAGAAAATTATTCAAATATGTTCAAAATCAACTTCTTAATTTTAGAAATATTTTTTAACTTTTTAAAAGAATTGTCTAACAATATCTATCAATTTGTAATGCTTACACTCTCTTCCAAATGAGAGTGTAAAATGTTGACAAAAAGTAAGAAAAAATTATAGCTAGAGAAAAATATCAACAAATCTGTTGACTCCAAAAAATGTGTCAACAAAAACCTAACTTCATCCACTTCATGTGGGCATCACCTGTACACTCGAACACCCCGTTAGGAGGCAAAGACCGTCAATCAAGAAAAATATCCAATGATCGTTTGCACTCCGACAGTCAAGTCAACGACTGAACGAGAGAAAAAAATACAAGAGTGGGAGAAGGAATTTGGCTAGGGTTAGAATGAACATTCCTTTTGTGAAGTGAGTTTACATATATATAAAGAAATAATAATAGACAAGTGGGCTAATGGGCCAAATGAGTTAATGGGTCAAGTCTAAACCCAAGATGCAATTACTTACTTAAATAGGCCCAATCAATTGAATGTCGATACCACGTTGGCATATATGAAATCCTCTTCATCATGTATATGCCACGCAATAATATATAGGTGTTATAATTGTCCCTCAAGTCTCAGTTGTACATTCATGTGCAGATCAAACTTTGAAATGTAGGTTGCTAAATAGGTGAGATCTTACAAATTACTTCGAGAATATAAATTGCTTTAATACATAAGGACTTTATGAACGGTTTCGAAAATATCTGTACGGGCCTGAATTAGCAAGGACTTATAGATTGTCTTGAAAGATGTCACATATAATTTGTCAAAATTTTAATAGCATATTCTCTGTAATATGGATTAAACCAACCTGTAATACAACATAATATCGGTTGGGAATTTACTTAAATATGCGCAACAGTAACAAAAGTAATTTCAATTCCCACTAAGATTCATCTTTGTATTTAGATAGGAACTGTGATAAAAGTTATATCTTTTCTTAGATCTACAAACTCCTTTGCGTTATCTTTGTTCCAGCAACTTGGATTTGCCTCCCACAACTGTCAAATTGTCTCGTTTCTAATGAATTCCACACAGAGAACAGATTGCAACTGTCAGGATTTTCTTCTTTTGTGCTAACAAGAAATTATGAGATTCTCTATAGACTAAAAACCCCCTAGTCATGTATTTATATAAGCCCAAACGAGTCTGATTCGGTCCAATATTTAATTAATCCATTTAATTAAATTCGATCCGTGAATTATTTAATCCACTTAATTAATTCGAGCCTATAAATAATCAACTCAATTAATTAATTTATCCAACGATTGTTAAATTAATTAATTGACAAATTGCAATCTTTCAATTCTCTTTTGTGTACGATCCATTAGGTTCCCAATCACGATACTTAACGACATGAAATATTATTTTGATTTAATCAAAATTGATAAATTAAAACACCATTTTAATTTATCACCAGTTCACGCTCACTGTCTGAAATTGGCACCTAGCAATGTATCAGAGCAACACATGTGATGGAAAATGTCATATGGTGTGACAAAATCAAACTTGTTCGTTTACCATGAAACTATAATCCCTTCGTCAATATGACCTGATCAATTATGAGATATGAAAATGTGTCAATCTCAATTATCGATCGTATCTTTTATTCTACTATTAAGTCAACATAAGTCGAAAACTATTTTTCGACTTATGAGTATACCTTGACCAATAATTTCGTTATTGACTTAATTGAACGAAATGCAGATCACAATCTCTTACTATCTAAGAGTGATGAATCCTCTATTCGTCATTCACAACCTTCATATGGTTCTTGACATACTCGAACGATGCCATATTAGCTGCCTTGGCAGAGCAACATCCAACACCGTCAAAGCATGACCGTCCTCATACAAAGCACTATGACAATCTCAAGTCAAAAGACCAATTTCACTAACGAACGCTAGAGATTAACCACTGACACTCAGATAGTTATCCATGTGGAACTCTTAGTGGGTCTCCAATATTTCGTTCTATAACAAAACATCTACGCGTTCATTTAAGTGTCACCACACTTTAGCTCGTGAGATCGACTACTTACTTTACAAGTGAGAAATGCCACACATGATGGTTTATCCGTAATAACAATATCCGTATCTCGTTATTACTTACAACCATGGATTATTCAAGATCCAATCATATGTAATTTGTATCTCATAATCACAACTCCTTGTGATTAACAAATCATTTAAACTTGAATCTTTAGACTCTATTATTTAAAATTATTTATCAGAATATTAATTTAAATAAATAATAGATTTTGCCAAAAATAAATGCATTAAACATATTTAAAGTGTTTACAATCCATATCGATTGAATATAGGGTATAACACTTACAATATCTCCATTGTACATATATAAAATAAATTGGGATCCATTTGCCCTTCAAATTACTCATAATCGTAAATTGAATAATGACATATCACATTTCTCTAGGATATAATATGCAGAGAACATATCATATATCATAGCAGGTCATATGCTTACACAACTTAGTGTAGTAGTAGTAGTGCTATAGTGAAGCAAGTAATTTGATGTCGACAATAAAATGAAAATGAAGATAACATGGCAAATGTATTTACTGTGATGAAAATAGTATCATATCTCAAGACATGTTAGCAGTGTATGACATATGTACTTTATAGCAATTATATAATACATGTGCTAACAGTAATATGTAATGATACTAAGATACTAGTATCAAAATACTCTTTCAAGTTCATGTATGAATATTCATATAATGTGTGGACTTTTGGATAAGGACGATACTCTGAAGATAAGTAGTTGGGATGAAGCTGATGCAGGATAAGATTCTAGTTATAAGCAGTTGAGGCAATGCTTTGGACATAAGTTGTAGATGCGATGTTGTCTAGACCCAAAATGCAATTACTTAATTAAATAGGTCCAATCAATTGAATTTGAATGTCATGTTGGCATATATGAAACCCTTTTTGTCATTTATGTGCCACGATGTAACAAATTCTATATTTCATTATTTCTTTTACACGGCCATCTTGAAGTAGCATTTTTAGATATGTCATTAACTATCGAATTAAAAATAAGTCTATTTGAGTAGATTCTTTACATGTCTTAAGAGGATAATGCTCATGTTCTATCCATCTCAACAATCTCAGGCTTAAAAATAAGCAGAAAAGGTTCTTTTATTTTCCCTTTTTTTCCGAGAAAATAATTGAGTATAATATGGGTCCACCCCAACACATAGATCTGTTCGGGGCTACTTATTTATATTTTATACTGTGGCCGACAGAACAGTGAAATTTCTTATTTTTTCCTTTATTTTGATCTAAACAAGGATTTTCTTGAACATCTGCTTACTATTAAGCATTAGATTCCATGTACCTATGGTAGCAAACAAGCAGCTAAAACACAGCCAAAAAGTCAATTTTTTCTATCTGGCAAAACGCGAGGAATCTCAAAAATTATAGACCCTCTTTCGATGTATAATTACTCATCTAATTTAGAAGTATAAATTTCGTCCTCAACGCGACCATCATAAATTTCTTTATCATTATAATTAAAAGGATTGACACATGCAAGTTTTTCAAAAATGTTGGTAAGGAGTCTTATCACTGACTCAGATACATAGTTAATCACCTCATCGAAATATTTAAGCAATTAAATAAGTATTACATATATTCATTTAAATTTTATCTTTAACTCATACGATTTTTCATGTCATATGAACAAAATGTTACAATCGATTCAGTAGGTCACGAGTTGTCGTATTTATTGATATTTGGGAAGTAGTTCATAGCATTTATTGCATCACTATGTGCCATGAAAATTGTAACACTTGAGGAGTATTTTGTTCCTCTATTAAACTTGATATATAGAGGAATTAGTGGCAACAATTTCTTTGTTCGTCAGATGTTTTACTCATAAAAGTTGGAAGAAAAACAATTTTGCATTCCCTCTAAAAAGCCAAATGATAGGCATTCAAGGATGAAGGGAGATCTTACAAAAATTCTATCGATCTTCACAACAACCCTAAATAAAATCAAAGTTAGAGTAAGGCCAGTTATGGCCCAATTACATTTTTTTTTTTTTTTTTTTGTGAAAATTATCTATATAAAAAAATTATGTGCATATTGGCAAGACCTAAAAGAGTTTTTGAATTTATTTTTTATGCCGCGCCTGGAGAAATTGAAAATCACACAATAAATTATTGCGAAATTTTTCTGTAATCTTGGTGAGAACCAGCTCACCAATCAAATTCATTGAGAAATAGTGAAAAACAAAGTGAGATGATATAACATTAATTAGATTGGTCATAAGTCATAAATATATGGACAAATTTAATTAACAAATCAACATCTTAAACACATTATTATGATTATTTCATTTATCAAACTAATCAATCTTTCAAAAAAAATATCAAACTAATTAAGGGAAAATTGCTCTAATGATCTTCAACATATTGTCTCCGTAGAAAGTTGATCTATGACATTTTATTATAGTTGCACAATCACTTCTAATTACCAAAGAATTCAAATCTTGAATTAATCATTTTGTCCCACGAAATATGTTTTGCTTCAAATTTAAGGACACAAGTCAAATTGGGACGCAAAATATAGCTTCATAAAGATGTAAACTAATTTGCTATCAAGATAATAAGTTGAGGACCAGTAATGCAATATTTCTAAGTAATTAATTGCGAAGATACCTGTGTCCCACGGCATTTAGAAAAAATGCTCAAAGGTTACAGCCTTTGAAAACAATATCACTCTGAACCTTGATTTATCAGGCCCCACAATTTGGTCCTTCAATTCTCAGTATCCGACACAATACTGAAAGGAAAAAATGAGAGGGGTAAAAGTTACACAAAGTGGGAGTAAAATCAGAAAATCGTAGCTTTAAAGGTTCAGACAGATGCATGTTGATGAAGTCCAACATATTGTGGAGAGTCATTTGCACGCAAAGAATACACACACTGCGTGCGTGCGTGTAGGTGAGGTGGGGTAGGCCGATGGCATCGTGTGCAGCTCGGGATGGGTAGTATGAGTAATGCCACGTGATTCTTTAAAAAGAAAGAAAGGAAAAAAATAGTTTGAGAGAGAGAGAGAGAGAGAGAGAGTGAGAAAATGAAATCATTCAAATTTTAATGAATAATGTTATCTAAAATAGATGTTGTTGGACATCAATCTAGATGGAGTAATGCTATTTATCATCATGATGATGAAATATCAATGATATGGCAACTCATTATTCCTAACATTTCTCTCAGTTGAGACCACATCTCCTTCCACTTTCTCAATAAAAATTGAACTAAATGTTAAATCACATTATTTCATATAGACTAATATATCATTGATGTTCCAATTTCATAATGATAAATAGTATTATTCAGATATCAGCATATCATAAATCTTATTTAAGTGAGTTATAATTACTTGTATATAATTAACTTGTAATTTAATGCCACTGGTATTATCACCTAGATTGGTGTTAGCATATTATAGTTGTCCGCATACGAGTTAAATGAGTTATTATTACTTTTATTTAATTAACCTAAAATTTAGTGTCCTTAGTATAGCCACTTGGATTGACGTTAAACAATAATGATACTAAATAGCAATGTTTTAAAATCCGGCCCATGCATGAACTCGAAAAAGAGAAAAGATCAATGGTCAAAAGCTTCAACCGGGATCAAACCGGAGGGTTGTGTGTGTGTGTGTGTTTTAGTTTTATTTTGACAATAATATATAATTAAATATTCATACCACCAATTCAAAATAAATACAAATGTGTGTTTTTGAGTATAAAACTTATTAGTTTTAAATTTGTTAGATCACTTAAGAATTCATTCCAATTTTACTAAGTAATTTGTAAGATTAAAAAATGTTTAGCAATCTATAGGAATTGAATAATTTAACTTTGCAGTCATATACCATGTGATCGTAAATAATATTGAATAAGTGATTTATTAGAGTTTGTCAATCATTAATGGTGCATTGAAAAAGTGTTCTTTATTAAACTTTCTCAATCCCACATTAGAAATTTATAAATTATAGGACTCAAGAAATGGATACAAGAGCTCAATGGGTAAATGGGTTGCCATATCTAGGTAACCTTTTTATTATATATAATTTTAAAAAAGTAGTTTTAGAATTCGATCCAATTGTTGAAATCACAATGGTTCCCGATTTTCGATTTAATGGATTGATTTTTCAGTTGTTTGATCTTTTTTTATTAATAGGTTAATTTATTATAATCGGACTGAATTTTGGTCCAATTTTCAGTTGAACCGACCGTTTCGATTCTAAAAACGTTGCTTAATAGCGTTACTCATTTTTAGCCTCTGTTTGGTCTAGCTAAAAGTTTTAATTAAATTCATAGTCAAATTCAATAGTTAATTTTAAATACACATTTTATAAGACCTACAACTTTTTAACCATGCATTCTATCGATTTTTATAAAAATCTACCAAAAGAATTGATTTTTATTAAATCAAGCAAGGGTTTTGCTAATAATGTTTAGACCTAGTCAAACATGCAGTTAATAATCCTCGAACTTTAGAGTATCTCTAAAAGACTCTTTAAATATTAGATACTTTCTATTTTAAAAAGTTAACCTTTGAAATCATACTCCAACAGACACTTTAAATTAATATTTTAATTTAGAGAGTGTGTTTGACTCTCCAAATTAACTCTCTATAATTAAATACAATCAAAGTGTTTCAATTTTCAATATAAAAAAATAATAAAATAATCTAAAGAAAAGTTAATTAAAATAAAAGATAGAGAAAAATAATAAATATTTTTTGAGAATAGTAAATTAAGTGTTAAATATAAAGTGCTGGATTGCTTCAAAATTTTATCTCTCTAAATTTATAGATGCACTTCACATGATAGAATATACTTTTTTAAAAATAGAGATTTCTTGGAAATGCTTTTACACTGTATAAATAACATCTTTATACTTTAAAATGAACTTCATTAATCCTTCAACTTAACATTGTGAACCCCTTTAATCCAATAAAGCGAGTCCATTAAAAGTTCGAGACCATTCAGGTTTTGTTTACCCAGAAAAATTATATAAATTCAAATGATCTTATAGCTTAAACAGCTAGAAGGAAAACTTTTGAGACCATGTTGACATTCACCAAACAAGAATTATGAAAACAAGTTACAAGAATTGACATAATGATTACTTGACAGCTTAAATATGATTCCCTTATCTCATGGGATGGATTCTTAGCCTGAAAAATCAATTAAAAACCATTCATTTCAAGAAATTAACCTATTAATTCTTGATCACATATCACTCAATGAGAACTCCTTGATATCTTGCCCCACAATATTTTTAGGGTTATATTACTCGTACATTAGGATGATCATGACGATGTCTACCTATTATCATGGAGGGACTCCACTTGAAATAAAATATAATTTATTCGAAGTAGGCCTTCCTCCATGTGAGGGTGTGAACAATGTCATAGACAGCGCATTATCTACAAGTAGCATATTCTATTTATTTATTTATATCTAATTGTACTACCATGCTTTCTCTTCACGTACACACTCTCTTGTCTCACACTGCATTTATGTACCCCAAAACTCTCACTCAAATCTATGCATAAAACACTCTCCTCAGTCCGTTCCTTCTCCTTCATGGCTCTCCTCTTTCTCCCACTTGTTCTCATCCTCTTTGTTCCCTCAACCAATGCGGGATCTTGGCCACCCTCCCCGGGTTATTACCCAAGTTCCAAGTTCAGGTCCATGAGCTTTTATAAGGGTTACAGAAACTTATGGGGTCCGGGTCATCAGAGTACAGACAATAATGGCATTACTATTTGGCTTGATAGAACCTCAGGTCTTGCCTTTTTTATTTTAACCTTATTTGGAGATTATTGTCAGTTTATCAATTTGGAATGAACTTTTTTTCTGTGACAGGAAGTGGGTTCAAGTCGGTTAAACCATTTCGATCCGGGTACTTTGGCACCTCCATCAAGCTCCAACCTGGTTATACAGCTGGCGTGATCACGGCTTTCTATGTAAGACTTTCCCTGTTAGTTATTAAATTTTCATTTTTGGATTGCATCGTCTAAAAGTTCAAAATGAGTTACTTTACGGTTGCTCATCGAGTATTGATTAATGAAAAATTGTTTGATTGCAGCTTTCAAACAGTGAAGCTCATCCAGGGTATCACGATGAAGTGGATATTGAGTTTCTTGGAACAACATTTGGAAAACCTTATACTTTGCAAACCAATGTGTATATCCGAGGAAGTGGGGATGGTAGAATTATTGGGAGAGAGATGAAATTTCACTTGTGGTTCGATCCGACCAATAATTTCCATCATTATGCCATTTTGTGGAGCCCCAAAGAAATCATGTAAGATAATATTATTTACAATTTTTTTTCCTGATAATAGTTATATATTTACAACTAAAGATCTCAATTTTGATCGATCTTAAAGTATTCCCTAAAATTTATGTCATATCATATGAAGTACAGATACATAAAGTTCGGTTGAATTTGTCACAATAACTCAACAAGACATAATAATATAGTGCGTAAAATTTTGACTTTACTTTCTCTATAGTATTATTCAATCTACGAGACCATCACTATAGTAACCATTTCAACCATAAATGTTAGCCCATAGCTTGATTGACTTAGAGAGTGTAGTACAAAAATGTCACATTATCAAAAGGTCCATGTTACAGTGTTAAATATTGAAAATAATAGGATTAATTATTAATTCCCACTTCAATATTGCATTTCGTTTGGTTTTATTAAATTTCATTTGGGGTGATGAAATATGTTTCATTATACTTTTGTATCTTGTGGGATTTTCAGATTCTTTGTTGATGATGTGCCCATAAGAAGGTATCCAAGAAAAAGTGTTGCAACATTTCCTCTAAGACCAATGTGGGTATATGGGTCGATATGGGATGCATCATCGTGGGCAACTGAAGATGGTAAATACAAAGTCGATTATAGGTACCAACCATTCATTGGAAAATTTAATAACTTCAAAGCAAGTGGCTGCACAGCCTATGCGCCGCGCCGGTGCCACCCAGTCTCTGCCTCTCCATTTCGCTCTGGAGGCCTTAGCAGGCAACAGAACAACGCAATGCATTGGGTTCAAAGTCACTACTTGGTGTACAACTATTGCAAAGACTATAAAAGAGACCATTCTTTAACACCAGAATGCTGGCGTTAATTCAAGAATAGTTTGATCTATCCACATTCATGTATCATCAAACAATCTTGCTTTTAAAGTGAGATTTTTCCTGCTTTAATTTGGGAGGGGGTTTTCTTGAATTGGGTCCCTCTTGTCGATACCAAGCCACCACACAAGAAGAAAAAAGTTTGCATTTTGGGCGGTTCATTTAGGTATATTAGTTAAATGGACAGTACAAAGTGTGAGAGAGGAGGGAGAATTCAATAATGTGCGCATTCGGTTGTCATTTCCTAATAAAGCAAAATATTTTTTTCGTAATCGATTTCTTTAATGCTTAATAAAGATAATAACCTTTTCATGGTATTTTTTTCTTTTTTCGTTTTCACAGTAAGCATTATTGGTAGGCCCCATATTCTAATTATTGAAGGGACAAATCTTGAAAAGAGATAAAACAAAAACAAAAATATGTGACCCTTGTGCTAATATATAATCTACAATATAAAGTGTGAATTGAGAAGAAATTTTGAATATCAATTTTATTCTTATATATTTAGTTATATGTTAATTCTATCCTTATATATCTAATATAGTACCATTAAATATAATTTAATTTCATTTAATATCCATTTAAGTGTAATGCTCATTATTTTATATTGGGGTACTTAGAATTTTACATTAATCATATTAAGTTTAATTACTTAAATTACATTATTTAAATTAAGTTTACTACTTAAAATCGAAGCTCACGTATATAGATGTAATTTTATTATAATTATATAATATAATATATTAAAGATTGTATTAAGTTAACGTTAGATTAATTACAATACAAAATAATATTTATAATAGTTTTAATATAATTATATATGTAGATGAGCTTCGACTTTAAGTGACTAAACTTAATTTAATTAAAATAAAATTATGAGTACTACAATATGAAAAATGAACTCTATACTTAAAAGAAGACTACAAGAAGTCAAATTGTAATTAATGTCTTGATGCCACCTTTAATATATTATAATATTATTTCATATGTGCATGTATATATATTATATTATTTATTATTTATATAAGTAAGCTTCACTTAAAATCAACATTCATCTACTTATATAATTATATTATAATTATTATATAATATAAAGATAAAATGTGGAGATGGATGAAAAACATTCAATTTACCATTTTATCCTTATATAACATTGTCAACATTTTAATTCAAAGATTATAAATTACACGTTTAATTAATATAATAGATAATATGACTATTTAAATACAAAGAGCAATAAATTGAAAAGAAAAAATTGCTTAAACGTAATCAATGTTTAATTAATATAACTATTTAAATACAAAGTACAATAAATTGGATAGAAAAAAATTGCTTAATGTAATCAACAGTTAAGAGGGAAAGAATCGAAGATAAAAGAAATTATCCATTAAACTTAAAAATCTTACTAATTACTCCTAATAATTCGAAGTTACTGACCATTGCCATAATTATATCTTTCTCACTAGTTACAAGCTTCACATCAATTACACATTTTCATTAAAATAAAAAATTTTAAGTATTAATAAAAATAAATATTATGTGTCAGAAAAATAATTAATACAGTATTAAATATTTTATTATTATTGCATGTTCATTTTTGTATAAGCATATAAATTAAATGTAATTCAGTTACTTATTAGATATAAATATATAAAAAAAAAAAAAGATTTTATTTTGATACATTTAGAGGGAGAATTTTATTCCTTCATTTGTATTAATCCCATTCAAAAGAAAAGAAACTTTTGTTTTAAGATTTTTGACTTCTATATCTATTTTGAATGTAACTTTGGGATCGTTGCTGCAATTATTCCAAATAATTATGCTATGGACTAATATAACGAGCATGATTAGTATGTAATTTTTTATTTTTAAAAGTGTTTAGACAAGATAACTTTTCGTTTTTAATTTTTTAAGACAAAAAAAGTTTATGTTACAGACAAAATGAGTGACTTTCTTTTGAAAATGATTTATGTACCTTTAGTCAATGTCTAGCATTTCAATTCATTCAACATTTTTAAATTATGTACTTAATTTTTGAAAAAAATTATTTATCAATTACTTTATTTTAAAAATATTAAACATACCATTCATTCCTTAACCATAAAACGTGCATGCACGTGCTTACTAGTAGTAAGAACAAGAAAAAGACACATTTTCCTTTAAACAATCAGAGCAACATTTGAGTTTAACTTAAGCCCTTGTTTGAATCTCATTAAATTCTATTTCATTACATTCAATTTTTTCTCTCCTATTTTCAACCACACAATATTTCATAAAATAATATTACACATAAATCGAACGGGGACTAAATATGCTTTTAGCAGTCCAATAATTCAAATGGTTAGGGCGGGTTATGTAACAAATACACCAAAGTCCCCAAATTGATAGGTTCATGAATTCTTATTTATCCATGTAAACGAGGATTGCGAATGATATGTGGCTATGTTCTCTAGACATGCTTAGTTTATCTCTATCTTAGAGTGCCTCTTATCAAGTATGACTAAGCGACAAAGAAGATGAATGGACCTATTTAATATGTTTATAGTTCTTCTCCGTAATACTGCAATGAAAATTCAACATTTGCTAATAAATATTCGCTATGCGATTATATGATGATCTAGAATTAAACAAGAGAAATATAAAATATATATTCATAATTTTCTTTTAACATATGGCTAGAATATTTCCAAATAAAGATAAATGGTCAAAATCTTCTTCCCTTATCCTTTTTCTTCTTTTAGCATCTTATGAGGGTTCTATTTAAATTTGTTGGTAGGTCCAACACTGACCTTTCAAAAATAGTTGGGACATCCATAGATTATAAAATCGACAAAATTTCCAAACCATAAAACACAGACAAAGTTTAATTTTGGAAAAAAAAATATTATTACAAGACGTATACACAATCATGCCATGTCGAGATTGAGATGTTATATCTACTGTTTTAACATATGCATTATTCAATCATATTGAGATGCCTCCAAATTTGATTCTGTCTACTCAAATTTTTCTATATTATTTTAGGTCAGAAAAGACGAAAACTTTAATTAGAAAAGATTATCATTATTATTGTGGTGGAATCTTTTTTTAAAACAAAAATATAAAGGTCTACACCAATTGTTCTTACATTATCATAGAGTGAAAAGAAATTGAACAAGCTGTGGTAATTAAGGTGATATACAAATTATTTGGCATTCAAGGTTATAGGAGAGTGAGTCCATTTCCACCACTTAAAATTTCAAATGATTATTTAAAATAAAAAATAATCCAATACGTTTAATATTGACAACACTCATTTTTTCTTGTTTTTCCTTTTTTTTTTTTTTAGAGAGAAAGGGAAGGTACCAATCCTCGAAAGTTATTGCATAAAAAAAAAAAAAAAAAAAAAAAAAAAACCTTTATGGATCGACCTCATCAACTCCACCCAGTACAATCTACGAGATCACCCCAGTCGGGTCATACCATAATTTTTTTTCTTAAAAAAAGTGTTATATCATTGATACATTATTAAAATATAGTAAACCAACTCATGGCCAACCTTAGCTCAGTTGGTAGAGCGAATGATTGTAGTGGGTGTGTTTACCTCAAAGTAATCCTTAGGTTGCTGGTTCGAATCCAACGGTTTGGATTTATTTTGCAATTTTTCTTCTACTTAAGGTCCGTTTGATTGCAATAATAAAATTTGGATGGAAAGAAAACGAATTCTAAGGAACTGAATTACTTAGAACTTGTTTTACTGGAAATTGTTAATTAAATTGTTTGATTAGTATAATTTTCACCTGAAAATGTAGAAATTCTAGATTTTTTGGTATTCGTTTGACTTTATTTTTCATGAAAATTGTCAATTAAAGAGATAAGATTCCGTTGCACAAAAAAAAAAATAAAAAAAAAATTGGAAAACTAATTTCCCACCAAACTCGTAGGAATTGGTTTTTCACTAAACCAAGGAAAATGGGTTATGTGAAGGGGGTGGGAGAAAAATGAATTGTTGGAAAATTTGTTGCACCAAACAGTGGAAAAGGTGAAAATTTTTCCATGGAAAATTGACCAAATCAAACATTCCCTTACTGTAATTGCTTTTTCTCATTTTAAAACCGAACAGTTTGTAGTTTTCTGATCATTTTTGTTCCAATTTCCAATTGCACTTGATGTTATATAATGAATCGTATGAACTTTATACTCTTCAAATCACTTTTTTTTCTTTTTAGCTTAAACTATGATTAAGGTTAAGAAATCGGATTGATTTTTCCTCATTCTTTTTACTGTTATTATTGCTTTTTACAATATAAGGATATGTGGAAGATGCTCTAAACATTCATTTTTTGGCTCGTGAGGTCATTATTGACAAACTATTCTGAATATTCATTAAATTAATAAAAAGGACGAGTTTACAATTTAACTTCAAAATAAAAGAAAGAAAGAAAGAAATGAGAAAATTATAAAACATATAAGAATATATTCTCCATCACCACCGTCATGACACAAATAGGAGACTTGATGTGTAATGAATAATGATTAAACATGTATGATGTATGGTTGGAAATTTGAGTCAAGAGAAGGCAAAAGCTAAAGTGGATTTGAATGGAAAGAATTATATCCTGTTTGGTTGTTAAGAATTAGTTTTTCCGTAGATTTTAATAAAAATTGATAAAATATGTGACTAAAAATTTAAAGTAATCATGGATCTCAGAAAGGGTAATTGACGCAAAACGTCCATACTTTTTAGTTTTATTGTGGAAAACGTCCCCACATTTCATTTTTTGACATTTTTGCCCTCAAATCAACCTTTCCTTGCGATGAAAATCATTCCGTCCAAGTTCCATCCATTTTGCCGTTAATTAAAGAGAGAGCCAATTTCTGTCCAGTCAGCAGGGGTAAAACCGTCTCACCCATTGAAACCCCTCATTTTCTTCCTTCTTCACACTTCACAGCCCGAACGGTTCCCTTCAACTCTCTTGCGGTCCTTCAAAAACCCCATTTATCTTCCATTTCAACAATTATTGCTCCATTCTCCTCTCGTATGGTCGCATACCAGCAGCCGGCATAGTGGAAGCTCGCGTTGGGAGTTTGTCCAGCGAGCGACGTCGAGTAAGAATCATTACTTGTTGGGTATTTTCGTTTTCCATTTCTTATTGTGGTGCTTTGCATGATTAAGTGTACGTGTAGGGTTTTGATAGTATTATTGTTGTTACGCAGGCCTTCAAGGAACAACGTGTTTCTTCCATATTTGAGAAACCTCGACGACAAACGACCCAGATATGGTATGTAGTTC